GTTAAGCTTCAGTTCACGAAAACCGGTTCGCAAACAATTAAAAGTGAAAAATAACCCCAAAAATCACCATTTTTACTCTCGTCGTCACCTTCAACCTCTTGAGTTTGCAATTTGGAAGTCTAGGGCAGGCAATTTTGTGAAGATTCCTTGATGGAATTGAGAAAAAATTTGCTAGATTTGGATTTCTTGAGGTAAGAGCTTCACTTATATGTAAAAATTTTAGATTTTCACCATGTATTATGAGTACATTTGGAAGAACTTGAAAAATCACTATTCATGGTGAAAAATGAGGAAAAACTATGGAAATTGCATAGAAAGTATAATTTATACTTATAGGAGTTGGGTTTAGTAGATTAGACTTGATTCTTTTGAAGTTATTGTGGAATTTTGTGAAATTTGTAGAATGACCTCAAGAATGAAGAGGAGTAAGGGAAAGACCCACTTTGATTTGAGCAAGTTTGTGATTTCAAAAGCTCAGGATAGATATAGTGACGCTCTACAGTCACGAAAATTGATTCCTGGGATGTGATTTAAAAATCCAGGTGAATCCGTGAAAGATCTGATCGTTCGCCAACAATGGGAACGATTCTACTATCTTTTGTTGTGGCTGTTATTTTTGTTGTTCAGGATTGGGGAGTTCTATGCTAACCTACCCGAGGCTGAAGACGATCGAGTCATGGTTAGAGGAAAATTGGTGCATTTTTTACCGAAGGTAATCAAAATGTTTTATCATCTACCACCGGATACTTTGTATTTTTATGCAAACTATAGTCCTACTGAGACAAAGCGAGATGAGATTATTTCCTATTTGACTGTTGGAAGAGGGCTCTGAAAAATTACAAATGAAAGAAGAGTCAATTTTTCCCCCTAAAACTTGAGTGCACCTTCGAAGGCATAGCACTATTTTATTTCAGCCAGTCTATTACCTACAAATCATCTCAGTGAAGTTACTAGAGAGAGAGCAGCGTTGAACTATTGTATTTAGGAAGGCAAGCTCATCAACATTGGAGCTTTGATCTATCAGAATATCATCAGTTATGCCACTGTCGTTACTACTGCAGGTCTGGGATTTGCTTCCTTGATCTTTTCCTTATGTGAGTAGGTTGGAGTGAGATATGATAGCTTGGAGGAATTAATGTTGCCTCTAAAGCCAATAAAAAGTATTAATGTAAGGTCATATTCGGAGCATTCTATTTTTGACTTGAGAGGAGTTTTTTCAAGGAGTTATGGAATGGCAACATCTACTGCTTCTACATCTAGACAATCAACCTCACGAGCTTCTACTTCTAGAGGTGAGTCTACAAAAACTCAAAGTCAACTATTACATATAATGATGGATAATATCAACTATATCGCGGATAAGATAAGAAATTTAGAAAGCTTTGCTGGTCATATTGATGGGTATAATAGAAGAAAAAGTGATTATGAAGAGAAATTTCATTCATCTCTATAACACCTCATTAGAGGTAACATAGGAGTGGAATTTCCTTCATACCCTAAATACCCTGATTAAGAGCCTAAAAATGTCTGGAATAGCGGTGATTCTGAGGATGATGAGGATGAGGACTGAGTTATTTATTTTGATGATTGTAATATGTGTTGAACTATGTGGTTTGGACTTGCTACATTTGCATTTGTGTACATATTTAGACTTTGTGATGTGTGAGACTTTTAGTTTGTTTAATTGTGTTGTGATTTTGTGTTTCGTTAGTATTTTGCTTTAAATTCTCGGGTAGTAATTGTTGTTGTGTGTTGATTATTGTGTTAGTTAGTTAAGGGTTGAACTTATTTCTATGTCTTGTGAAAAGTTGAAATTTTGCTAACTTTACTTTTAAATTTTAAACTTAGAAAACTGCTACCCTTTATTTTTCTTTTATCTTGTTAGTATGTTTGTTCTTATGTTGAGGCTAGAAATCAAAGTTAGTGTGTTAATTTGTTTTTATGTTTGTATCCACTACTTAAAAGTCTATTGAATCTCTACAAGTTGAATTGAAATGAAAATGATAGAAAATTGATCAAAAATTAATTTTAATCATATTTTTCGTTTTATACTTGTATAATTAGGGTATAAAATTTTCTGTAAGCATGTTATTTCAAATTTTCTTTCCTGTTTATTTATATTTGCTGCTAAAATGTTTAATCTTGTTAAAAATTTAAGTTTGAGGGGGAATGAAAAATATTTTCAAAACTTGAATTTTATTTGTTCTCAAATGTGCTACAACTGAATTTGATTTGAAAAGGAAAATGATCATGTATATGAAGCAATATTAGGGAAGTAAAATTTGATTATAGAAATGAGTAAGAAAATTTAGTTAAAAATTTGAGTAATGAAGAAAAACTTTCAATTAAAAATTTTTAGTGTAGAAAATGTTAAACATAATATAACTATCTTTAGTAAGAAAAATTGTAATTTCTTAAAAATTAAAAAATTTAGACTTTTATTTTTAACGGTTAAATTTCTTTTATTAAAAATAATTTTCAAAACTATTATGATATTCTTAAGTAAAAGATTTATATCAGGACTTTGCTTTAGGAAAGAAGAAGTGGAATTCAAAACCATTAAAGGCCTAACCAAATAAAGTAATCCTTGTCATAAAAAGAGAAGAGAAAGAAAAGAAAAGAAAAAGAAAAGAAAAGAGAAAAAAGAGTAAGAAAATAAAAGAAAAAGAAAAAGAAAAAGAAAAGAAAAAAAGTAAGAGAGGAGAAACTTGAGGATTAGTGCCTAATCAAAAATTGGTTTCACATTTGAACTTTTTAAAGTATAAGACTTGAGAAACTCTTAAGCTTAGGGACATAATATGGTAAGTAAAATTATTTCTAAAAAAAAAATTAAGTGTAGATAATAAAAGGATTAAATTCTAAATTTGGAAAA